CGGTGAGAGTCTGGTCCGTTGAGAACCCGGCGTGCTCCGTCCCGGCTTTGTAGGGATGCGAGGTCAATGGTCTAACGACTACGGCATGCACGATTCTGAGTACACCCCCCCCCCCCCCGGTTGCAGGCATTGTGTGTGGCGATGCGAATGTCCACCCGAGATGAGGGGAATCTGATTGTCAACATGAAGAACTGCGACACGTCCCATAAAGACGAAACGCTTTTCAATGACGCTAGCGCAACTGGAGAGTACGAACTCAACCTCCAGGTACCAAGTTGCGGGTCCGTTTTGCACGCGATCAACGCATGACCATTTCTTCGAGCAGGGAGATTGTCCTTGACTGGCTGGTGCCCACCTGTAGTGGCTACGTGGTATATTATTGTCAGGCGATATTCGTGCCTCTGAAGTAGCCAAGTCATGCCCATCCGTCGCGATAAAAGGTCCTCCTTATAGAGCCGTACTTTAGCTACCCGCTACGCGTGTTCCGTGGGCAGTCAATGGTGGGGCAGACGGATTCGCCTGGCAGGTTTCAGTGTGCATTTCTTTGTTGACAAGTTTCGAACAAGTAATACATTTTGCTCACTATCCGTGTCTTGCGGTTTCATCCCGTCTTTCGTGCTAAGGCTATGTCTAACAAAAGTGGGTGCGAATTCTCAACTCTGACGACCTCTTCGAGCAGGCGCGGCATTCATAACGTTAACAATGCGTTTTTTTGCTTTGATTCCATACCCGTTTCGCCGTCTCTCCTCGTTCGACGTGCGGCTCAACAATATCGCGCCCTTGGCTGTATTTGGGGTATTTCCAAGATACCGTACCACAGAGTCGTGGCATCGGAACTACTTCGAATAGCTAATCGCAAGCCGACGGCGCACTTCCGAAGCCTGAAGCATATCGTGGGCAATAAAGTGACCAACCTCAAGCTCCACAGGTCTGTTCTGTGTTACCCGTTCAACGCGATTTCTATGCAAGGGTCGTTTTGATCGGGATATGATATGAGATGGAACACAATCGATGAGCGCCAGTTCAAAAGGCGAAACTCAGCGTACCTTCATCTCTGTGTGCTTTGAACTAACTGGATAGATTGGCATGTTGTGCGCCCTTTTCTAACCATGGTATGTAGAACGCCAAATTAACGACGACGTTGAGGCGGCATGATGTGGTCATACATATTCTTTTGTTGCACAGGGAGAGCAACGCAGCGGTTGCACCAATCGATCCCCGGGTGGATGTGACCCGTCGAATCAAGGGGTGCATGGCAAAGGACGGAATGCTAGGACTGGGGCTCGTCTCTGAGTATGCAGATACGCTTGGAATCAACCCTGAAGCCGATGCTGCGAGCAAGCTGATGCAAATTTGGAACAAGGTGGGTGTATTATGGCTGTTGTTGGCGACGATACCGTTCCAGCAACCACAAACGTCAGAGACTTGTCTGGTGTGTACAATCTTCTACGTGGGGTAGTTCGAAATCAAATTTGTTGTGAATCCTCTTGCATTTCTGAGATGCATTTGGCGCAGACATCCACGCCCGTGTTCACGACCGTTTGTGTTTCGTGGTTTCAATTCTTGCGTGGTTTGAGGGTCTGTAACTTCGTGGGTGTCACTCGCCTTTGTTTTGCAGTATGCATATGCGGAATGGCAATACAAATACCACTCCCCAGCAAAGCTGTTGGGCTGCCGAAGAGATAACTTGGAACACGTAGGGCTAAAATGACCTACAGTACAGTGGATCGCCACGCTGCGCGCCTTTCACACGCCCTCTACGCCCAAAGGTTTTGGCGGAAGACCGGAAGAGAGAAAATCGCGACAACGTAGACTCAGGGGGCGACGACTTTGTAGTCAGCAGCTTCTTCGAGGCGCTTTTCATGCTCGCCGACAAGGACGAAAAAGGGGAACTGATCGTCGAAGATCTGGAGATTCTGTTCCAGGTATGTTTGAACATTGAGCTATTTGACCATGGAATGAATAACCTGAAGCGCCTGATGGCAGACACCAAGTATCGTCTAGTGTAGAGAGACCGTTGACAAAGGGTGTCCTCCAACTAGAACTAGCGGAGGGGGCGCGTATGATTCGTACTCAGCTGCTTATTGACCATTGATCTCATGATCTCTTTCGAGATGGAGATTCGTTCTTGCTCCCTGTATGTAGAAGCATCATGTTTCTTTCAATTAAATTCCCTTCTCGTGCTACGGTGCAATACTCGCGATTTTGTCACACCCTTCTTCTACATACCCTAATTTTGGTAAGTATGATACGCACGTTCTAACCCTGCTATCAAAGTGCGGGTCGTGAGCACGCTCATCCGTTCATACCTTCGAGTGCCTTCACCTTCTCCCCTACTTTCGATGTGTGCATCTCAAGAAGCTACCGGAGGGAAGAAGGGTGAAGTTTAGTATGCAATCTTCCGGTTGGTGCCTTTGTCGAGCTAATGGCCGAACCCCCTCCACCTGCCTGTTTTGGTTCCCTAGGCATTGAAACTGCCACACAGCGAGGCACGCTTGCGCCACGTGATGTCCAAGTACGATGCTGACCACAGTGGGTCTGTCGACGTGGAAGAGTTTAGGCACTACATGGTGGTGGGTTCCCTTACAGGGTTGACCTTTGAGACGGCCTTCGATGCTCGTATGCATATCGTGACGTATAGTGCTGTGCAACATCTGAGAAGCAGTTCAGCGGGCGGGACTTGCTTGTACGACGAATCCCGTTCGGACATACCTGTTGCGTTTCGCCTGGTCCGCATGGACGGAAGTTGTTGATCACACCGTTCACCGAAGGGCTCCTTATTCTGGTGTACAAATGCTCCAGACCATTGGCCCAGCAACGAAAGTCTAATAGCTTTCTCTGTGGATTGGACATCTCACCCTTGCAGTTTAGACAACCTTGACCTTTCGTTGATGAATGTTTGCAGGGATAGTAGAAGCAAGGGCAAAATGATAGCCCCGGCGTCCGATGCCTCGTTCTTGCGGTGTGTTTTGCCGGCAGGCAACCCACTTGAAACAGGGTCTCGTTCAGCATGCAGTACTTTGCGCACAAGACGGGAAAGAGTGGCAAGTCCCTCATAGTGGAACCCTACGCTTGTCTTTTGTCCAGGAGCCTTCGTCCTACCGGACGCTCGGCGAGGTGTGCGAAAGAGACCAAATGTGAAGTGAGGTTTCTCGGATCTCGGTCGTGCATGCGCGTCAGACAAGAAACATCGGGCTTTCTATTGAGATTTGTTTAATATAGAGGTGCATGATCCCTTTAGCTAGTCGAGGAAGACCGTGGGCGACTCGAAGCAGGCTGGAGTACAAGCAACATGTCGGCATCATGCGACTGTACATTTTTCGAGGCAGGTTCAGTGATCCTAAGGCCGGATGGACATTCAACGTTTCGTTGGTTGTCGTGATGATATCGAAAACCAAATCCGACTTCTCCCCTGCGTCCTCTTAGAGACAAAGGAACTGATTTCATGGCCACATGCTGGACCAAATTTCTGAAAACAAATATAGCATGTATGAGTCTATGCCCAGACAAAAATTCCAAGATCTAATTGCGACGACAAGGACAGTGTCGATAATAAATATCAAATCCCTCCCACTCGGCCCAGATTAGTACGGATCGTGGAGTGGCTGGCCTCATCGTCAACATGCGACAATCGCCCACAGATGATGCAAGAAAGCGTCTTTTCGAGCTTGCCACCTGTAACAGCGGAACATTCTTCACTTCACACCAAGTGAGACGAGTTGATACGAGGCTGACATAAAGCGGTACCCTACCAAGCACTCAACACCTTTGCTGTACACAGCGCAGTCGTGCCGTGTAACCGTTTTCCGCTTAGGTGATTGCGCACGCCTATATTGTCGACGACATGGACTACCCGGTAGATTCATCTACGATACGGACCCCACTGCTGCACGTCTTTCAGTCTACCTGCACTTGTGTGCTGCATTCGCTTGTGCCTCACTTCTTTGATATTCTCGATTCCCCCGCTTTGTTTCTGAGGATGATCCCCCTCAATCGATCTCGCCGGTCTTGGTCAGGCTCAAGGCGTGCTGGAGGCTGTCTCGAGCAGCTACAACATCATCGACGCCGTGGCAATATTGATACCTCAGCTGGCCTCGAGCCAGGAGTGCTCCGCATTTGTCGGTGAGCGAATGCTCCGTAGAGACTGAGAAATGTGAGGAGAGTCATATCTGCGGTTCTCCGTCAGCGTACCGTCGTGCGCTTATGTATTCCGCTGCATTCGTTACGTAGCAAACATGTTTTTCACACACGCATCGGTTGTACCCCACTCTTTCTGCTTTAGACTCCAACCTGGATCACCGTGACAAGTTCAAGCTCCGTTTCATGATCGGCGTGGCGTGGGGAGCCATCCTGGGGATGCCGTCAGGTAGGAGAAAACAACTTACACGTGAACGCCAACAATTTGCCTAAGCGATGACCAGAAAACACCGTAGACTCCGACAAAACCTGACGCCTAACCTCCCTTACCCTCAAGAGAGGATGAATTGTTCTCGCTCGCCAAAATTATTGTACCTGGTGAGGTGTCCAAGCCTCAGCGCGATCCTGTCAAAGAGGAATGTGGAACTCGACTTAAATATGCACCATATAGTCTCGCCGGCGCCTCCCGGAAACAGGACCCTCCGAAGGCTTCCGACCTGCAACGCACGTTGCCAATGGGATCACACAAATCATCGGGGGCGGGGTATGACTCATAGGCTGCCGAAATAGTACTTACAACGCGTGGCCTGTGTGATTACCGGAGGAGATTGTAAATATTTCAATGTGTCGGAACGACAGTTCGCCCATATTGCCGTTAATTTCTGTTCGATAAAGTCCTTTCAGACTTGGCCCTGTCCAAGCAAGATATTTCTATCGTTATAGAAAATTCAGCGAAAGACGGAGCCACTACCGTCGTACGATGTGCCTCTGGTCCTGGTCCATGCAGGGCACTTCTCCCTGGACATGCAGAACCCAGGAGATCGACTGGCAGCCTCCAAGGTAGGATCACGAAAGAAGATGACTTCAGAGAGAAGGCGCGTAGCGCTCGTCTTGACAGCGATGAGCACATCCGGCCCTTCATGTCCAAAAACGCATGTTTGGTCTCACCCCTGATCAAGCACCGTCAGCTAAACGATACCGTGAGGCTTCCTGGAAGTCGTTCACGTCATCACGTGCCACAAGTACAACAAACAGAGGTGGTGGTCACGGCTACAGAAACTGTCATCCGTAAACGTTACTGCGAAGAAGTGTTGTTCCAGGGACAGCATTCAAACGTCAACGACCAAGTGCTTTTGGCCACCCGGTAATTGACACACTGCTTTGCCAACACGTTCAAGAAACCCAGATGCCGGGATTCGTCGTCTTGACAACCCCGGGAACTATTGTTTTGGAAAACTGGCTTCGTATTGACTAAGCTGGCTGGTCCCTGTTCTTGTTGTCTCCACATTAAACTTTTTAAGATGGCGGCCGTGGGAAACCAAGAACGGCAATGCAGCAAGTCAAGCGGGCATGCAGATACATCCCAGCACGGCAATTGGCAAAACTTTAGGAACGCAGAGTACAACCGTGAGCCGGTGGTTCTGACGTCTGCCTGGTTCATCAAACTACCAAGTTCTGGCATGCTCCGCTTCGACTACGTTTCGACGTCTAGACCCGACCATCATCAGATTCCCCTTACAGAGAGGAGATTTCAGGTACCGCACGTTATCTGTTGATGACGAATGTCCCCAAACAATGGCGTTAACTCCAGTTGTTTATACCGTCGCGTCTGCCAGGGAGCCTGGTGCGTGTGGTGAGGGACATGTCCAAATTGCGATCTCCAGTCGACCTTGCTCGATAGATGTATTCGTGACGACAGCTCACATACTACCATGGGTGTTCTTTATTCTGTTGTCGTGTCATAGACAAGAAAAAGTTACGTCTATACCAGGTCACAGAACGATAGGTGCATCAATCATGGAATGTACATGGAATCAACCATCCATCCATGTAATGTAGCCTCCGCTCTGCCATGACAACGTCCCACCTGTCACGTGTGTTTCCGCAGCGAATGTTAGAAAGGCTAGGGATATCGGCGCCCATCACCTCCTCCACCCCCATCGATGAGGAGGTCATTTCCGCCGAAGCATTGCTTGCCTTGTGTACATCACACTTTCGAAAGATGGCCTCTTCCAGCCCTTTGTTTAAGATCGATGTTCGGGACTACTACCGAAGGTGTGAGCCCGACCTTTGCAAAATCTCAACGTTAGTGATACTTGCATGGCATCAACATGAGAGGTCATATTGGGGCATGGTCTAGATGACACGCTGCCGGGCTGCAATATCGAGATGCAACCTTCTTGTTGTGGGCCCGCTCAAGGCATGAGATTTATCAAACGCTAACGTGGTACTTTAAAAATTCTTGTCGGTTGTTTCCCTTCAATCTTATACTGTGCTCCTAATACATGCAGCGGATCATCACCTGACGATGTGTCGCTAGCGTCCTGGTGGTCGGCGGTGGATGTAACAAGCGTCGATATCGATCGTCGAGATTCATTTGCCCATCTAGTGCCTTCTGACAGATACGTTAAAGCCTGGTACAAGCTCAAGGAGCTTGAGGTGGCTCTCTGTTCTTCGTGTCTCACTTCTGATCAGGTACACCAGTACAACTACGATAAGGGCTCCCGGATGTGGTTTTCTTGTGGGTCGATCTATTGTTTGGAATGCCACTGGAGGGGGTGTATTGGCGACTTGTAGAGGAAACTAGAACAGTTAACGCTCGGAACAAGCGGTGGTAACACGCACGATGTTTCTCTGAATATTTTCGTTAAACTGACATGTCAATCGCATCGTACCTTTAACTTTCACGCTGTCCTCTCCGTTGTGTCTCAGCTAGTTCGAATCCTGGAGAACTTTCCGCGTGAAGGTCAGATTCGAGCGGAGGTGGTAACCACATTCTACCACAAGGTGCGGGGGTCTCTCGCTGACTCCGACAAAATAAGCCCTCTACAGACGCCCCCACAAGAAGTGCTTCATGTAAATCCAGCAATGACGCAACCTCGCTCATGTCCTCTTTCTTGTCAACGTTCTGTCAGGTTACGGACACGGGAAACATGTGCCTTCTAGTCGACGCTCTCCGACCCGATGAGGAGCGCGAAGTTTTAGCGCGCCGCGGGTACCTCAACGTCGTCAACCCCATATTCGCGGACCGGTATGTCACGTGACTAAGGCAGTGTGGGATGGTAAGCACGTTTCTCTTTATTGAAGGGCACGCACGTGCCATCTACCATCGTAGCTGATAAATGCTCCACGATACAACGAACTAAAAAACCTAACCAATATATTTCCAGATCGTGCTACGTATTTGCGCACATTGTGTCGAAAGGTTCACAAAAATCCCGCCCCCCAAAAAAAACTAGTTATCCAAAGGCTAACACTCAAGATACCATGACAGGTACTACCACTTGAACCTCGCCGTTTGGGATGAGCGCGAGATGGCGAAAATCCTCGTCCACTTGGCCATTACAGAGCCTGGAGAAAATTGGTTGGATGAAACATACACGAGAAGCCCGGAAATCGGGGCACTGTATGGTTGGGAGCTGCCTCTTGACTGGACTCAGGTACGTACGTTAACTGCAACCGTTGCACGTGGCCTCTGTTGTGCCTACTACCGTATTCAACACAAGATAATCTCCACACACAATACCACACCCACCCGGTGGCCATGTTTTACTGGTCAACATGAGCTAAAACATTATGGCCGACTATAGGGGGGCATATGATACCCTCCCCCACAACAACACACACGATGATAAAAGTTGGAGGCCATGTTACTACCGAGGTATGTTTCTTGTGTGGTATACGGTAGGCTGATACGGTAGGCTGTTAATTCTCCCCGCTTTTTGCTACAGAACGAAAATCACACTTTACGTTTGTCACCACTACATCACGGTTAGGAAAAACACACGCTGAACAGACTTACATTGCTCACCCTCCTGAACTTTACGGACTCCTCATGAAGAGTTTCTCACACCCCTCCGTGGAGAATGGTGCAGTACTGTCAGCAAATGTTTGGCTAAGCTTGTACTGGAAGACGGAGTTTTCAACGATGTCCGCCACCCGGTACATCCGCTAGAATTGGAACATCACGCAAAACGGCCAGTTTCATCTGATCCGGATCGTTTCGCGCTGGGCAGGATGGGGGGCCTCGGAACGTTGGCATTCTAACCCTGTGGTACTCCTCTTCGCCGCGTCGGGGCTGTGCGCCAAATCTGCTCGTTCGGCAGGCGAGAAAGCGATGTGTATCCCTCTGTGTAGGCCGCCTTGCATACGCCAAACCATAATGTTCGGGATGTTTGGTGAATATCGTCTACGGTACATATCAATCAGTACTTCTCTTTCGGGAACGAGCTTTCAACGATGTTTCGTGTGTATGGGCGATTTATTATGTTGTCTCGGCGATACATCGCACATCGAACAACTTTTCGAAACCATCTCGTAGACGCACAACAACCAAAACCGCTCCTCGAAGATGGGTTGCAGGCCAAGCGAAAAGAGTCCGCACTTTTCCGCGCTTCCGTTGGTGGCTATTGTACTGTGATGGTGCAGGATCTGGAGAAGAGTACGCTGTGCGGGAGGGTTGGGACTACTTTCAGCTCGCGTGTCGAGGCGACAGTAGGCATACTAGCCTACACTTTTGAGCGGCAGCAGAGGTATTTATGCCTGAACTTGGGGGAGACACGATGTGCTTCCTAACGCCATGTGGGAACTGTTGCCCTCAGAATTCATTCGGTGGAGGGCTTGATCATCATAGCAATACTATTTTCTGCGATCCTGTGCGACATGCCTTCATGTTTTATCAACTCCCTGCAGACGATACGGAATTTCGACTCGGTCAGCCCCATTTCCCCCGTCCTGTCTCCGTTTGGACAGATTCAGCATCCTCGACAAAGCACGACAACGGAAAGAACTCTTGTGCGACGAAGTTGCTCATTTACTTGAGTCGGAGGAAACACTAAACCACTGCTATGCAAGCACTTGTCAAGACGATTCGACTCGTATCCTAGGGAACACTGCGCCCAGCAGCATCACAGCCCTTAGTGAAGAGGGGGAGCCAGGCGTAGGGTTTGAGGTCATGTACGGAGGCTAGACGATCGTCGTTCTAGAGAATTGCAGGAAGACGAGGTGCGTTCTTTGGGGGGTAAATTTACGTCCGTTTGGAACCTCTCGGCTACAAAGAACGGACGACGTAGAACAAGGGCTGGTCTAGCGTTTGTCTCCGTGAGCACAATTTGTGCTATCCCCCCCGCTCAACTATAGCGTTGGGCTTCCTTGGAACTATTTTCTTCCATTTGGACCTACAGTAGTATGCGATGCCTCCGCCCCGAAGATGGCAGGGCTCTCTTGTGACACATGAGGAAGATGTGTTAAACGCTCCAAGATGCTCGCACAGTTTTACAGGAAAACCTTGTATTAGTGGTTTTCAGGTTCTCCAATAATTATCTAATTTGATTCCCTGTTTCGGAAGAAATACCCTTTGGCGAAAAAAAAAGCCGTGAAGGAGGATGTGGGCCAGTTTCCTCACCAAAGAAAGCTGCGCGCCTACCGGGAGGTGAGACAAACGCCGACAAGAGGAAGAAACCTGTGCTCAGGGAGCATGATAATATGCCGATCGTTCAGGTGGAATAATATGACGCGAATATGAACACTTACCCCAGAAGGGGGTCATCGCCGACTTCCCCACGAGACTGCATGGCCCCGGCAAGTGCGCACGTGTTCGTTGCCAAGCCTCCAAACCAAGAAGCACAGTTGAGCTGCCAATCCACCAGACCTCAAGACACTCTAACTCCTGGAGCTCAACGCCATTTACTCTGTCAATAGCCGAATTGAGTACCGGATACGAAATGAAAACAAGGCGAACGGACTACATCACCCGTTTCGCTCTTCATAGACGCCATACTTGTTTGACGTTCAACGATAGCGGGTGCTACAATGCCAACAATGACTGAACCTTTTACGTGTAGTTTTGGCGATCTCGCACCAGGAACTCCCCGGTCGCCTACGCAGCAACACGTCTTTTAGTCTACACTAGCAATTGCGAACAAGAGCAATCACTTCAAGCAATATCCAACTTGGTTCACAGCTGCACCGCCCCTAGCTCTTGCGTGCGTTCTTCGATGCTCTCCTGCGTTGTCCAAGTAAAGGGAACGCATGAAGGGGTCGAAACGGTAGCTTGGCTGACTCAGCTTTCATGTGGGAGCGAGCATGGATTTGGCAACAACCCGAGAGTCTATCCTACTTGACGTGAACCGGTTCAAGCCACGGGATTATCCAATTAAGCGTTCTGGAGACACTCCGGTCGCTAATATGCCAACCGATTTTCAGGCTACACTTGAATCATCACCTCGAAAAGATAAGGCCGGCTGGAAACATCACAACGAGATGACCCAAAAGGGGGGGAATCTCTCAGTGAAGTCTGCTTCTTGACAATTATTAGGCTCCTATCATATGCCTCATGTTTTCCCACTCATTGATGTCGCTGTTGTATTAGCAGTGCGACAACTTCCTCCAGTGGGGTCCTCTTCCTAGAACCCGGTATGAGAGGGGCTGTCGGAACTCGCTTCACCATGAACCAAAAATTGGCAAACGGCCACCATGAAGATTTCATTTTCAACTTTCCGGCTTACAGTCGGGGGAAAACGGACGTCACACCATCGGTAGACTCGGGGCGGAAGTTTCCTTACTTGCTCCAGCAGCAGAAGGTGGTGCTTCGATTTCATCTCCTCCAGCTTCTGCCCTAGCTTCTTTAGGTGCGACTTTCTTTGCTCGAAGTCCAGGATCAGTAGATCGCTGGATGGTACAGACGGCACGCGAGAATGGGGACGACAACGACGAGGTAAATTGATTTTCAGCCGCACGAGCACACGGTGCTCTTCAGAACAGTGGTATAAACTACCGGAGGTTATGAGGGAAATTGTTATGGGATCGCACCCTGGACATTTTGTGCAAGCAAGCTTATTCTCCCCTTGCACGGGCCCAAGCGATGGTACTACTTCCGGTACGTTCGTTGGTTAAAATATCGTCCAACTAACGCATGTTTATTGGGCGCAGAAACCTTGCAACTTCATGTTTCGAACACGCACCTGTTTGCAAACCCCTGGCTCTGCCTAAGACTGGCCACTTCCCTGCGAAGGGTGTCTCTATCTTTCTTGGCTCCGGTGAGACGATCCCTTTCCTGGTTGAGGTCGTCTTCCAGAATCGAAAGCTGTCAAATACAGACGAATGGTATAAAGGGTAATGCCGGATTTGCAGCACACTATGGAGCTACGCACAGCGGGAGGTACTGGTACTTGATGGCCTGCATCTCTCTAGTCTGTGTGAGCAGTAGCGAAGCACCCCCTCAAGATGCCACCAAACACCGTCCCTCTCCACATCAATCATCCCCGCAGCCCTGTCAACCTCATCGAGGGCTACTCTTATCCTATGCCAAACTGCAGCACTATACCGAGCTGCCCGGTGCGCACGTGTACGGCCAACATTCTAGAGCGGGAACGGAGACTCCATCAAACTCGCAATCCGACATGCCGGAGGTGATGATTGCAAGGTCACCTCCTTGGATGGTGAAGTAGCTTCCACTACGTTCGCTACATCCAAGTGCATGTGAATGTAGCGAGCCAGCAAAAGATGCCCCGTTTCCAATAGACGAGTTATTTTGTCTTTCATCAAGGTAAGAGACTGAGAACACCGGAAAGAAAAGAAAATTTCCGTTTCCTTCCCGAAAAAGCCCGCCTCCTTCAGTCCACCTCCTTCACGTATGTTGGTTGAATTGCTCTAGTGGTAGTTCGAGACGAGCGGTGTGAGCGATTTCTTCCCGGATGGTCCTGTGCAGCCAATTGTTACGTACACTCATGACGCCACCAGTACCATGCCCTGGTGACGTTTTATTTTCCTTCTATTGAAAATCTTACCTGGTGACTTGTGACAGAATTCTCCGCTGCGACGAATTGCAGCTTCTCCTTCGTGTGGGTAAGGATCTGTCGAAGCCGGTACGTCGAAAAAAGCCGTGGTTCGGGGAAGGCATGAAGGAATTACCTTCTTCACCAAAAATCCTCAGAACTAGTTTTTACTGTAAAACGACCGACCTTGCGATCTTCCACCAACTATACCACGACCTACCCGTTTGCCTCGATTCTAGGAGTGGGTTACCTGAACCGTGGTGGTGTTCTTCTTCCGGAGCTTTAGGAGCTCCTCGTTTCTCTCCTCGATTTTCTCGTTGACCGTCTGGTTTTCAATCTTCAGTTGCTCGAAGTCGATGAGATGGAGCCTGCAGACGGTTGGAACTCCAAAGTTTGAGTCGGAAGATACAACCTGCATCTGAACACGGCGCCTTACTGCACTTGTTTGAAATCAAAACCATTCTCGACACAACAGCCGTCTTCTCGCGTCGGGAAACGACCGATCGAAAGTTGAAGTATACGTGCGTTTTTTCGCGGCACTCACCCTTCTGCGAGTTGCTCCTTCGCTCGAAGATTTCCCTCCACCTTTCTAAGCATCATACGCAAGTTGATGTTCTTCAAACGCACCTGGCGGAAGACGAGGACAATGAAACACGTGTCATCACGCAATCTGGTTCCAAACGAGAACTTCTGGAGGTTTTTGAGATGAGATGGTGCGTGAGAGCTATGTCGTCTCGAACAATGACAATAACTGTGCCCATACATATCTCAAGGACTTCGCAGTTCGTACCTTTTCGATCTCCCGATCTTTCTTGGCTTCCGCGACCTCAAACTGAGAGATGACCCCCTTCGGTATCGCCTTGCCCGTGCGACTATGTTCCGCTGTCCGAGCAATCTTCAGAGCAAAAGCGGAAGCGCACGAACAGACTGATCACAGATCATGGCCAGTTGATTGCCGATTGTGGTGGTTGCAACATACTATGCAGAAACGCTCACAAGCACAGAGCCCCGAACGGCTCTACAGTCACCACACACAACCAACCGTAGTCACACGTTCGTCTCGAAACAGGGAGACACAACGACGTGAGAACACCAGCTCGATGGGGGCCTTTTGGTCTCTCCGCGAATGAACATTCCGGAAACCGATCTACACGCGGGGTACCATGGCTGCATGGCTCTATTTGTGTCTTCTGCACCACAGCGCCTGCGGATAGTTCTTTCCTTATGAAAGGACAAAACGTGATCCTTCTTCACCGGATGACCTGTAAGAAGACGACAAAAACTCACCTCTCTCTTAAATTCCCGGAAAGAGTCAGCTATTTCGCGTGATTTGTACTCTTTCTCGTCCAACCTTGTCTGAAGAGCAATTGCCACGGTATCGTACTCAGCCTGTCGTTAGAAATTGACACGAAGGGTATGACAACCATGGCAGCGGGAATATTGTGGACCGAGCAGATAAGCCCTGAGACACAGAGACGTTGCCTCAACCCGCATCAGCAATTTTCCTGCTCATTCTTGTTCACCGTAGTCGTGTGTCCGACATCGATCAGAACCACTTCCCTGTAGTACAAAACGCTTAGTCACTTCAACCACTTGCTGACCAATGCCGAAATAATTGGTCTAGCAAGCTAACGCCGCGAAAGGCTGCCCTACTACTCGAAAACAACTACTCAAGTGGCCCGAACCCAAGTTGAACTAGGGCGACCTGTACCGCCCTACCACTTGCACCTGCTGCTCTTGAAGCCTCTCCCGACAAGACACGATAGAGGCAAGGGATTCGGCGTAGTTTTTCTCGCTCTCATGCAATGGGGTTGCTTCCTTCTCGACTCCCCTCCCACCGTGCTCCGTCCTGGCCTCCTCTCTGGTTTTCTGTTGGCTCAACATGAGAGACGCGATCTTCTTCTGCCATTCGCCATTTTGCTGGGGAATACGACCGACGGAAAGACGACAGATGGCAAGCGTAAGCGTTAGGACGAACCGGAAGACCGACGGCTGCCTTGTGTGTCTCGAACGCTGAAACGCTTGCATGTATGTCAGAATTCACAACTCCAGGGGCATGCGTGTCAGTGAGCGCAACTCGGTTTCGCTCACTTGTGACACACTCTGGTGTTATTGTACGGATCGAGAGGAACCAGGAATAAAACCGGAGCTGAACACATGTTCGCAACCAGACCAGCTCATGTGCATGGAACAAGAATTTGTGACCCTTGAACTTTATGAACCGGACTCGTCTAATCATCACGTGCCAAGCCAAGCCAAGCCTCTAGGGACCGTTATTGAAAGTTCTCTTACCTTGACGAGCTCATCCTTCTCTTTCAGGGCTTCTGCAATCTGCCTTCGCACGGCATCGCTCGCTTCCTTGCGCCGGTGGTCCCTCTCCACCTGAAGCGAGTGCAACGATGCCCGGCCATAGCACGGAACAATGCAATTGTGGAAAGGCCGATGTAGGTTTGCCCCCATTTCAACAATAGCGCCGGTGCAAAATGCAATACCGCAATGAGAAACAGGGAGATTTTGCGGCTGTTCCAAAGGAAGCTGTTAAGGTGTTCAACGTAGTCGCGTGTGTAGCGCAAAATGTAAGGTCGCTCAATTTGTCGCCTCGCGTGTGATTTTTCGTTGTGTCCTAGGCTGCTGCACCGTTCGCCAATCTTCCGCGGTAATGTCCCTTGAACGAGAAAGTGCTCCAAAAGTCAAGATAGTTGGTAACCTTAATGGTCTGCAGAGGTAGCGTTGATATGGAGGTAATCCGTTGACTTGTACTGATCATGTCATTAGCTCCTTGTCAGGCCTACCTTTTCTCGATTGCGCGCTCTTTCCGCGGCCTCCCGATTCCGCTTCTCTTCCCACTCCAGCATCTTTTGGTTTATAGTGCAACAAGTAGGGAGGGAAATGTTAGCTGGATACATTTTGGAAGACCGACTATGTCGGTCACGTCAGGCATGATACATAGGCAACCATACATGGTGGACCCGAAGAATTGCACTCTCTAGGCAGAGTGGAGCAGCAACAAAAATGAGACGAAACGGGTGAAGTTTGCCCAAACAATCCCGGCGATGACCATCTTGTCTCAACATGCAGGAGCTCAAACAGTTGTTCTCGTGCCGGATAGGGGAAAGGTGACGTGAGAAGATCACGAACCTGATCAGACGTCATGTTCGTATCGACGTCATACGCTTCGTCGTCCATTGGGTCAGCCTTGCCATCCCCGTCTCCTCCTTCAATGCCGAGGTGCCGTTGGATCTGATGCACACATTCAGTCAAATCTAGCATCATGGATGGGGCGGGGCTGGAGGGCAATCATGTGCCTTTGCCCTGGTATCACAATCATCAACATGGGCCACACGTCTCGGCTGAGACTCGGGCTTCTAAATTCTCAACGCGATTTTCATTTCATGACCATGTTCAAGATGCTTACCATCCACCACCTTCTTCTCCCACGATACCATCCTCTAGCCCTTCTCTTGATTTACTGCATGGCACAGCGCCCATGTTACTCGGTGTACTCCGATTTTCTCGGACTTTTCAGAATCTCCCAGCCCTGTTCGTCGCAACGTAAGTTGCATTCGCTTGCCCACACATCGCCACATCAAGGTCGCTCCACAAGATTATCAGGTTTTTAACTGACCTGCTTCGCCGTCTTTTCGGCGGTCTTTTCAGCGACCTGCTGGATCACAGCCAATGAAGCCCCCGCTTTTTTGTAGCACACATGTATTGTGCTATCATATAGCTCGTTCACAACCTGCACGTTGGGGGTGTTGGAACATGTTCATCAGTTCAAAATGTTTCTGTATTCTTCGAGATAGGCCACGTACACCTTCCCGGTGTTAATGCTCCTAACAACCATCGTCGTCCCGATACTGATACTATCCTCGTTAGAGAACCAGAGGATATTCCCAGAAGTTGGTGTGGATATCCACAGCCGTCAGGCATCACCTGAGGCAGCGCAATAGTGACGAAGCCAAAGCCCATCTGAAAGCCCTCTGTGCCATACACCACTGCAAGGTCTGTCAGTGGTGATACTGAATCCGTGTATCGCGCCATCTGTGGATTTTCGTCAGTCGTTATCGCCATGGCGCGCAGCACGAATGGAAAACCATCAGTTAGGGTTGACCGCACCCCGCTTATGTTCGATAAAGTTCAGACGGCGACGCTCTCTATGCTTCGTGTGAAGCGGACGTGCATTTGTTGCTGCTCTTGCCTACACATGCTGTTGTTCGACTCATGACGCTTGATTCTAAGCAGGTGAACTTGAAACAAGGAAACTTACTTCCGTTTGCTATGGTGTCATCGTTTGGGATTCATCAGTTGGTGCTGGAGCAAGAGATGCATTCAAGAAGCAGACACCGTTGATCATTACCATTGCAAGGTCGCCGCAGCAACTCTCGTAGATGTGTTGTTTTGTGTGTGTGCTTGCTAACTGGGCTAGCGGATTGTGCAGATACTGCTGCTGCACGGATTTCTTACCTTGACACAGAGAAACACCATATCGCGACCACAAGTGCCCCCTTCTCCCCCGTGCTCCTCCCCTCTCTCCATCGGCTCTGCGGTGGTCTTGCCTTCCGCCACCTCTCCACTTGACTGTTCTCCGACCGCTTCTTTGGTGCTATCGTCGCCGTCTAAAGCCGGAGGGTTGGCAAGGTCTCCCGGTACGAGCTCGAAATCCTCGGGTGGTTCCACCTTTTTCGGTTCATCCGGCACCAGTTGCTAGTTGGAGTTCTTCGACGAGAGTGCATGGCGTTTGGCGGCCATGTACATGCAGTACACATGGTTTGCGTCTGCACGGCATGGTTCTCCCGTTGGTCCACGTCTTATCCAGAACTACCCGGCACGTTTTCGCTGTAGGGCACTACTCCAACCTGAGGTCACGTTTCCCCTCACCTTTTCGCCTTCCCTGAACCTGACAATCGCGATATCGGTAACCACCCATGGCACTTCAGGTTCTGCGTCGTGCCCATTCATCAACTTATGATCCGCACTCTCGCTCCCCTCTCCCTCGACCGGAGGCTGTTGTGCATCATTTGCGTCACCATTTCCGCCCCGGGCCTCAGAATCCACGATTCCTTGTTTCATTTCCGCTTCTTGTGTAGCAATGCCGCCAGCATCTGTAGCTTCTTCGGGGGTGGTAAGGGCTTCTGTTGGGGCGTCATGACCGTCGGTGGCAGCTTTATCTGGATCTACGGGCGCTTCCGACGCCGCTCCTCCTTCGTTCGGGTCTTCCATCTCACCCGCCGTCTGCTCTTCCTTCATCGCGACGACTGGGTCAACAATGGTACAGGTTCCTTCGCTAGTATGTTCTCGCTTGGCAATCACAGGAGAAAGCACACGAGGCCGTCGGTCTTAAGTAACATACATAATCCGAGAATGACGGATGCCACTGGTGCCGACTTTGCTTCTATCAAATGGTACAGAGAATATTTGCATGAACGAACGTGCGCGCACACGAGGAATGATCGCCGCGTATCTACAGAGTTGGGATGCAGATCGACGAGGTAACGAAGCAGCTGCGACAAGGACTTAATTTAAACGCGGGCGTCCTACCGATGAGAAGTCGTCCCACGCGCCCAAGCGAAGGAACTCCATCGCGAGATTCAACTGCGCCATGTCTTCCGCCCTTTCGCGAGGCATAAAAACCTTGTTCTCATAGGAGGCTTCCTGGTTTTGAGTGTTCCCAAAGAGAGAGCGGCCGAAACAAACAACTTAGCTCCGCGATTGGCACACAACCGCGTACCTCACACTGCAATTAGCAGCGGTATCAACGTTGAGCAGTGTTGACACAACGAGTCGCCACTGCTCACTCTCTGGTGTAAAATCAAATAAAAGCCCTTACGTGGCCTCAGAATCATGCATACAACAAGGGATCCGCAAAGGGTTTCAACCCAACGTTTCTTCTTTACTCAATCCAGGAATACTGTACCCGAAAGGAGTACCTGCTGCATACTTCCGCCTGCGTCCTGAACGACGCGTACTCTGACGATAGGCGGGAGGTCGCGCCGAAGTGCGCTTGTCGATGCCATCGTTCTTGCTTCCCTCTCTTCCAAGGTCCCACCTCCATTGTCGGACAACAGTCCACCCGCTCCGTCCAGATCAGACATCCTATTCACCGGGGTAGCGGGATTTGATGATGTTCAACCATGGACCCGTAATTTGCAATCATCCACACGGCCGTCTATCGTCTCGACACATTTGTCACCGAGAGTTTCTTACTCGCTAGCCTACATTTCTTGGTGTAACCCCCCACAGACGTTGGTGTTATCCAGTTCAGCACATAATGAAGAGTGACAGACAGCATGATTGTTCAAACTCATGATGAATTCCTCGATACAATGAAAAATCTCACCCCATGTTGGCTTCCCCTTCTTCGGGAGCCCTCAACACTAGTGCACCTCCGCAAAAACTCTCTCCTGGCAACGGGAGTCCACCTGCTGGATCCGTGTCATAGGGTATGCTTCCTGGGTCTTCACGGACGAGAATCTGCACGTAGTACGTGCCGGCCTCAATCGGGGATACCGAGACCGGAATACCGAAAACCCCGTCCTCCAAGACATCCATTTGCCACGGCCAGATGATGCTCACCTTTCAGTGAACGGGGGCCAAGATACAAAAAGAAGTAGCAACCACGTCAAGACCGTGACGCAGAGGTCGCGTATCTTGGCAATGCAGCACCACGTGCAAGTCTGCAAGGCACGGGTTTATATTGCCTGGTTTGTAACCACGAACTTTCTTGGCGATCAGCCATTGGGAGAAACAACCTAATCGCCACACCTCAGCTGCGAGATAGACTAATCTCCAAAGGGCGTGCCGTCAACACCTTTCAAATTTCGCACGAGATGTTGTTCTCAAAGCTGCCCCACCTACAAACGAAACGCTCAACCGTTACGGTAGCTTCTATATGTGACGTTGCAGACAATGTTTCGTTTCCGTATTACATACAACCTGTGATGTTGTGAAATCCGAGTACGGCCCGCTGAACTGCTGCTGCAGTTCCCCCACGGTCAGCGTAGTCGCCACCGGGTCATGAAACACGAGACAGGCGTATGGTCCAACATCCGACGAAGTCATCTGCACCGAGATGTGGAACCCCGAGGCTGCGTCTGCAACAGATAGCTCAGCCGGAGAGTCGAGCAGCTCCAAGTAGCGATCGGCGTACACCTGTTAAGCAAGTCCACATGACAGAAGATATCGAAACGTGGATTCGTCAAGCTGCTGGGTTCACGCGCCTGTACATCTGTAGCAGATGAAAACCATAAGAGCGAGCGTTGTTGTGGGGTTTCAGGGTGTGCATGCATGATTGTTGGAAAGAAAATCACCGCACGTACCTTTGACCTGGACTTGTGATACTGTTGGCTCAAAGGGGTTCAGTTGTTGAAATGATCCGGGCTTCGATAAGGATTATGTCAACCCCAGGTCACCTTGCAGCCCACCCCACATTGACTCACCTCCGCATAGCGGAGCCGGTCATCTACAACATGCACTCCGATACCGATGTGCGTGTGCTTGTTGTCCAGCATGTGGTTCGTTATACCCCCTTCTTGGTCGAGTGCATCTGCCCCAAGTCGCCCTTCGATGCACTCCTTGATCCTGTTCATGATCTGGGTGGCGAAACAAGGGTAGCCATGGTTACAATAGTACACCTCAAGAGTTCGCGTTGACTTTCGTTGGGTACATGTCATGCCCATATCTCCGGCGCAATACTGAAATATCCTTTTTAGTTTCTGGCCGGTGGAGTGGCATCTTGCTTGGTTATAAATCATTGGGACAACTACGGGCATTCATACCCCTTGAGTATCGTTACTCCGGCCCAACCTTACGGAATGGGAGGACTTCACTAAGATTTCGCGCGTCCGTTCACCTAGAAGACAACGCTCTGCTATAATCTGCACTGGGCAAATCGACACCTGCTACTGTACACCTGTGTTGGACCTGTAGGCTCCTTGCGAAGTTTCTCCTCACCCACCTCATCTTCAGCGGCTTCGTTCACGCGGAATTCGAACACGTCCTCCGAAACATGCTGGCCATATGCAAAATCCGAGTACCTTTGGTAAGGTTTTCGCCCGGCCATGTCCCAGTGACTCAGGAAGTCATGCTCGCACATTGTCCGGCAGTGAGTCATGGCAGGCACAGCAAGAGCTTCGTCGGGGGATAGAAGCTCAAGTTGCTTTGTGGCTCTTGCCTTGATTGGGGAGTGTGGGACGGTGCGAGTGGTGCATTGTACTGTAGGTGGTGAGTGGCGAAAATTGGAGTTCGCGGGTGATGAAGGACTGATCAACATGGCCTACAACTACTGTAGGTTTCCCGACGCGCACCCTACCAATGTCGTGATCGGAAGCAGTCTATCCCCAAATGGATATGTGGGTTACCGTGTCCAAGATTATGCTGCTATTGGGTAGCCTATGCCTCCGATAACTAAAGAACCGTCGTACGTACGTACTTCTATTGGTGTACGGTAAATGTTGCAATTTTGCACCTCTTGGGCTTGTGCAGCACGGACGCCCGAAGATAGATCTGATTACTAATGTTTTCGAAGCAGAAGAATGCCCTGTTGACAAGCAACATGAACTTCGGCCAGCAGAGTCTCACCGCATTGATCGCTTCCACGGCTAACTTTCGTACGCGACGATATACATCGTCGCCAGCACCATCGGCGGCACCGACACAGTCCTCAGATCGAGGAGCATACGTGTTGTCCTCGGGAGCGCCCTTTTCAAGACCACTCCCACCTGTGTCCTCGGCTACGTCTAGCCCATTTCCATCACCATTCTCCAAGTCATCACGTGTTATGGTGCTGCCCTCCTCCTGCGCGTCGCCGACCAGTGCCTCGCCGACGCCGGTACAAGTCTCGCCCGCAGCAATTTGGCTCGGAAGATCGCCAGCTTCCTCATTGATCTGGTCAGGTGTAGTATCGTCTACGTCTGCATCAATCATGTCGTCTGAGTACACTGCATGCAACATTCACGTAGCAAACGAGCTGTGAAGTCCCGGTCATGTTCCCGCGTCGTCGGTGAGAGAACTGAGAAACCGTTACGATACGAAGCGCCACCTCGCCAGCGTGTGTGGGTATCCGTGCCCCCAACCCAACCCACCGCGCGCGATCCGCGTGGACCCCCTAAGAATCTTAATGTTATCTTGCTTTTGTTGGGTCATTGGCATGCGCATGGCATCATGCCATGGTTCTGTCGTGCATGTTATTAGATAAAATTAGGCCATCTGACCAGTAGTCAACGTTGACTCGTCAGATGGTCTATTTTTATCTAATAAAATATATGCTCAGAGCTCGTTACGTTGTAGTAGCACCCGGCCGGAACACATGGGCTTGTTGCTTAATCACTGGGATTGAGAGTAGGGATCTCCGGGGGCGGACCCCTTTGGTCAGATGGTTTAATTTTATCTAATACATGTGTGATACATCGAATAGGAAATAGCATCAAACTTGTACTGCTGTACAGCCCGCGGGCTACACATCATTTATGTGCTTACACGAACGAACGTGCTAAATGTACATTTTTTTTTTTTTCTCCCATCATTGGATGCTGTCGTCTGCCCCTCTGGCCCCTATCCTCTACCTCTACTAGCTAGACGACCCAACCGGGGTCATGTAGGAGGGGGGGGGTTGGACCCCCTCCTGCGGTTCATGCCTGAGATATTTTTATCGCGAGAAGGCCCTTCCCTCGCGACCTATGAAGTCGATCGAGTTTACTCACAACGAGCTTCGCAGCGCATCGCTTCCAACTTAGACCAGGATTCATTTAGTGAGAAAAAAAAAAACTCACTCTGCCGGGACTCGAACCCATGACCTGTACATGTACTAACGTCGATATCTCATTCTGCTCTCGGTCTGTAACTGAGAGCATTCTGACAGCGTAGATTTCATCACGTGTAACGTATCCGGTGGATGTAAACGCTCTGTCCGGTGGATGTAAACGCTCTGTTGGAGGTGCTTTGGGGGGACATGTGCTTTAGATGGACCTACCACGCAAACGTATTTTGATACGGCTAGTCCAAGGGTTTGCTGAGCCTCAACAAAAACGGTCGAACGGCCATGTAACAATCAAGGATACACGAGGTTTGCTTCTCGGTTGCAACCTCCGCGTGCATCTGAAAGATACATAGCCTCTCCTATCTTTTCGTCGCACGTGTGTTTGATTTGCTTGCTGCGTACCTTGCTTCACATCTTTCTGGACAGATGGTTTTTTTTACTGCAGTTCGCGCTTTGAGCGAGTGTTTTGTCTGTGCCGAAAGAGGTCTAGAGGGGTGCTTCACATAGAAACAACGGGCACATCCACAACATCAGCAGTACAACCCTCTGCCACCCGGCCGGTGAGTACTCAACACATCACGTTTACTGGCAAACAACGGGCTAAAGCTGGAGGTGCATGAACGCAAAAGCTTGCAAAATACAAGACTAGTATACCGTGGAATGCGTACAGCCGAAGTGTCGGAGTTACGCCGTTCTCTGCAACACCAAACACACAACCGACCTTTTTCCCGTCCAGTCCAGTTCAGACTTCCAGAGATCTTAGGACGTACACATATGAAGCCCAAGAGGTGAAAGTTGTGTTCCGGCGGGGCCTACTTGCCTCGTATGTAATCCGTACATAGTATCTTTCATCGATCAATCGCGTTGCGTGTTCTATAAATAAACCCGCGCGGGTCTTGATGTACTTGAGCGTAAAGCACGCAAAACACACGAACGAAGACCTCTTTCTCTTGACGGCATCATCACTCGCTGGCGATGGGAGAATGGTCTCTTGCCGAGAAATATGTAACCTGGCGTACCATTGCTGCAGTAACACAAGAAGGTGGCTTTCTCTTCGACGAACACACCCGTCGAGTTTGAAGGGAACCTCAACGAGTGTCTGTGCAATTTTGCTGACTTAGTCTTAACACCAAGCACATGCACACGTTTCTGCACTTGTGCCGCGTGCGGAAACACACGGGACGCAAAAACATTAGGAGTAATCTAATCTCCACCCCTCTTGCTCTCTCGGCTTCCGGGTCCACATCTTCCGTCTCTGGTCCCACTATGACGTGCCGGCCATGAACTTGTCCATGAAATCGTCTTTCACTGCCCGTGCGTCGTTGTGTGCCGATGGATTTAGTAGCCTGAGCAAATGCGTTTTTTGTTTGTACTGCCAGCGTACCGGAAGGGGCAAAATCGATGCGAATAGGAAAAGGTTAGGTTCGCACGGGTGCATACACACACCATTTCGCAGAGGCGTATTCTTCTCTGATCGTCGTCGACAGCATACAATTTTTGAAGCGCACGAATACTATTGGCAAGGCAGTGCACGCGGAAGGGGATACTTCAATCCGCGACATAGGTTCTCTCTCCCTCTCATGTCCACGTATGGAAATGCGAAAGGTGTGGCTGTGTTATGGTCAATATCGCAAACGCTATGTACGCCAAGCGTAGGCTAAGGAGCGCGCAGCACGAACGAACCTGCATCGTAGTTTCCTCGAGATCCATATACCCCTTCATCACCAACGCGTCAACCACCCTCGGGTCCTTGAGGTGGCCGTTGTTTCGGAAATAGAGAGCGATCGCCGCTCTTGCCTGCATGGATGTTGGGACGTAGTACAAGAATGGAAGCAATAACAACAAGAGGTGGGCCAGCATGCTGGAGGCGACGTGATAATCTTACATTTTCAACGCTGCTTTCCGAAAGGCGATGCTCGTCAGACTGCTGTCGCGTGAATGACAGCGATGACAACAGAACTTACAGCAAATAGGTTCATACGTTTGCAGCGTCGAAAATTAAGCTACATAGATCAGGTTGTAGGTGCGTGGTCTGTACAGCAGTGTAGCGGCCGATACAACAAGTTGTGTGGTACGTTGAAAGTGTCGTCGAGACTTGGCCGTACGGCAGCAGCTGCATGCGCGAGGTTCGTAACAGCAAGAAAGGCGGCAGCAGCATAGATTTTCGTTGAATACTGGAGAACACCAGTTTTACTGTTGTTCACCGACATTTACGACAGAATGAAACACTGCCACCCAACTCCTGCACTGCTGTTCCAGCAGTCCGACTCTTCACTGGTACACGACACCAAGGCATTCTCGGCCTCTGCAAAATCTGGGCGTGCTGCACAACACGTTGCCACATGCGATCAGGTATCTCCACAGGCTGCAAGTGTTCGAGAGCGAGAACTACTCAAGATCATACGGCCAGATACATGGTTTGGAATAATACTGACTGCTGTATGCATACGAGGGTACACAGACCAGTGTCGCGCTGTGCCAAAATAAACATTTCCTGATCGAGTGCAGCGTTATACACGAACTATGCGAAACTACTGTACGGCTTACACAGACAGTGTAAGTTCAGAATTCATTCAAAAGGGTACGTACGCATTTGATAGTTTATTTCGGAAATATGTATCGGTACTACATCTTGACGAACCGCTCGCCTGAAAACCGGTTGCCCACAGGCACGTGTCTTCGCTACAGCAGTACACCTGTTCCCTGACCTACTGTAAATAGAGTCAGTGTCATGAACATGATCCACGGGACTATTCATGTACATGCAAAAAAAATGAATACACACGAACATCATGGCGACCTCCATCATCTCATGGTGATCCCCATGAATGCCGTAATTCGTTCGTTTACGACACTACTCGTGCACGGCAGTATAAAGCGAGGTGTGATGCGTGATGGCAAAACGGTGCTGGGGGGGTTCCGCGGGTGAAGAGGCCTCGATTGTTGTCGTCTCTTCACAGCAAAGGCTGACCCATTCACAGACCCGGCATGTAGGACAGCGAAGACTGCGTCGGTGCCGGAAAAAATCCAACAGATAGAATGGGCACAACTCTTTACTCCCTCGACACATGGACCCCATACTTGCATGGCCGACTTGTTCCTTCGCTTTCTCTTCTTCTTCTCAGCAGTTTTACACTGACTGCAATGTACCTGAGCAAAGTCCATGTCGACGTCGTAAATGGTGAGAATTCGAGGCACCTCCTTTGCGATCGCTCTATACAACTGCGTCGCCGGTGACGCAGTACCAGTTCGCGATGGACCGACGCTCTTCATCATGTAGTTTCCGAGTCCGGACGCCATCTTTGCAAGCTGGCTCCACGCAGGCAATGTGAAGCTAAGCAAGCAAGGAGTGTCAGCCCATGTGAGATGTCACAGCCCAGCACGCAGACACCGAGATTCCGGAAATAGGGGGGGTATGTTTTCTCTTCTGCGTAGCCCCGGCAGCGTGTTGTGCTCCCAACTCAAGTCACGGCGTTCTTAAGCGGTGTGCGCAACAGGCAGTAGCCAGAGCAGCAGTACGGTGTGTGGAGAAGACACTTCATTTGTCGTAGCTCCCGGGATATATTGAGAATCGACTTCGTTGTATCAGGGTCGACATTCCAAAATCAAGGTTGGGATTGCGATGCAGCAACGCCGGTATTGCGGTGTCGCGACGGTGGTCGTGATGCTAGCTATCGCCGGCGCCGACTCTCCTGGGGAAGTAGACGGCAGTCCCGGGAAAGCTTCGTCCAAACTCCTGACCAAGCAGGTGATAGACATTTTTGGAGCTGGAATCATGATTTGAGTTTCTCCGCAAAATACATCCTTTGAGGATGGCCGCGGTCTCGATTTTCCTGCACTGGCATCGATGAATTTTTATTTTTGAATTATTTGATGTTGTTCTTGGTGTTGCAAACTGCTGTGTACGTACCAAGCTGATGTGTACCGTTCTCGTCTTCCCTGCCGCCACCACGAACAAACAGCTCTTTGGCTCATATCCCAGAGCAAAGATGCATTTGAAGGGCAGCAACAGCGCCAAGACCTGAGTTGCTGATTCTTCGGCTAGGCTGTCTACGAAATCCTCGCTCTCGGCACCGCTGCCGCTTCACGGCGGTGTCCAGGGCTCGGATGCTAATCAAGAGAGTTTGTTCAAACACGGCCCTTGAAAAAACTTGCAGCTCGGCGTGTTTTTTTGGACGGTGTAAGTTCAAGGTGTTACTCCGCGGGAGGCTGCTGCATGATCGTTGATCTCATCTGCTTCTCAGAAAGGCGTGGTGAAGGACAGAACTTGTCGACAAAAATCGCTGGCCAACTTGCGACCGTTCGCTCTTTGACTAAATAGTGCTGAATGCACTACAGTACTGTAGACCAGACCGACAGGGGATGTGTTAGCATGTTCTCCTTCATGATGGGTGCGTGCGATTGAAGACAAGTCGATCGGTTTGAGTGTGGTGTTGTGGGGTTGAAGGCCGAAAAAACAAGTGCACATGCGTAAGAACAAGCGGTATTTCCTGTCTGTCTTGTTTTAAAACCTAATTTTGGTTCGCTGAAAAGATTGTTCCCCATAGCAATAGGTTTTTCAGTAGGACTCGTTGTCAAAGAGGGCAAGAACATGTGGTTCGTACACGGATGGGTTTGTCACGTTAGAAGTACGTGATACACTGCTGTGTGTTGCAGAGACCTCCTCTCTTACGCAGGATTTAAAGTTTGCCCTTTGTCGTGTTTGGTATTGACATTGACGCATGCAAACCACGTTTCTTCGCAGGTCCGCGTACTTCGTGGGGCATTCGTGATGGGGACTGAGTACACAGGTGGGGGTGAGGGAGCTGGAGCTCCCCCAGACGGGGGTCTTCCGCACACACAAGTCGCGGTGGGGTGAGTGAGGCTTCACCGCTTGGTTCTTCTGAACGCTGTGGTAGGGGGTGGGTGTTTTTATGCGTGTGGAGAGGGTAACAAGACGAATATTCCTGCAACGCCGGTATAGCACGCGTTCGCACAACCCTATCTTGCCCGAGATCTCGTTTACCCGCCTAGTCGATATATGATATATACGGCAATGGCTGGTTGTGTGGGCACGCACGCAGGTTTTTACTTTCACTCTGACTCTCGTGCGTCCAATCTTGGTTTCTCCTGTACGCCCAATCTTTTTTGGTTCGTTTCACTTTCCCAGGCAGTTCAACATCGATGAACACTGCGTGACAAACGAGCAGTTCGCTATCTTTGTGAAAGACTCGGGGTATGTGACTGAGGCCGAGAAGTTCGGGTGGAGTTTCGCGCTCGAGTGAGTGTCTTCACGGTGGTAGCAACTTAAGTTTGTTGGCCTTTCTCCTTTCTTAGGGATGATCTTGTCCAACACGTTCCGTCTATATGCCGATGATAATTCGGGGTTGGTGTAAAGCTCTGGACTGTATGATACTACTGTCAATCTGGGGGTGGTATCGTAGTTCTGTTTATCGCCCTATCGATCGTTTGGGGTGGCACAGGAGGTATGATATGTGTATCGCCGCCCGCAAAACGGAATCATTTGGAGTCACAATTTGAGAAACGTATGCATAATTTGCCCCGACAATGCTTGCAGGATGGCACGGCCGATTATGTAGATCTTGCTTATCGCCCCGCGCGGACTACTCTATCCGCGTCCCCCCAGGTATATGCTTGATGCAGAGACGATCAAAGAGGCGGATGAAGGTATCGGGCGGGTGAAAGGCTCAGAGCACTGGGTCGGGGTGGAAGGTGCGAACTGGCGACAGCCAGAGGGACCAAGGTCTTCGCTCAAGAGCAGGGGGAACGTGCCTGTGGCGCAGGTTTCGTGGGTGGACGCTGACGCTTATTGCAGCTGGGCTGGCCGGCGGTAAGCAGCCATGCTACTGTAGTTATGCATCATCCGTACGGCACGGTCATTGGTGCAGCGGCATTTCATCGGTAGACCGTAACCCTGGAATGGCGCTTTGCTTGTCTCGCGGCCGTCCATGGAACTAATCTGTTGCCACAAGTATTCATGTGGCCGAGGGCTACCCATTGCTCACATGTGTAAAGCTGTTGTCTGTTGCGGCCTTTTTGAAGTCATGATCAATATACTGTAGATCGACACCGTCGTATCACACAGCAAGCCCACAACCTGCGGCTAGGTGTGTTCAACTTGAATCTCTTAGTCTCGCTGCTTGTGATCCATCCATCCACTCGCGTAGTCGGAATATGACATTGCTGTGCCGCCAATACTTTGCTTCGTCACAGATTGCCTACCGAAGCTGAATGGGAGTACGCAGCTCGGGGCGGTCAGACACTCGCGTCCGAGCACGTGGGAGACAAGTCCACGAAAATGTGGCTCGTGGGCAACTCCTGGCAGGGCCATTTCCCAAACACGAACTCTGTTGAAGACGGGTACGCAGGGCTCGCTCCGGCAACTGCTTTTGCACCCAACGCCCTCGAGGTGAGACTGTTGTCACCATTCTGTCGCGAGTTTTGGGTACGTATTTGCGCGTGTGCCTGCTGTTTTGGGTTCGTGTTTGTGCGTGTGCCTGCTTGTGGCGTACTGGAAGTGTGCTCGAAGATGGTAGGTTTGACGCTGCTAACTCAACGAAGCGTAGGACATGGGGACCACATATCTTGCATTGGTCATGGTGTGGTTCGTTTGCGCTCAAACGCGATGCGCAGCACAAAACGCCAATGATGTTGCCTTTTTCTTGGAACAACGAACCCCGGCGGCTAGCGATGCAGTATCGTATGGGATTGACGAAGAATCTTGCATTTGTCACGACGTTCTGATACTGCACAACCAGGTTTACGATATGCTGGGAAATGCTTGGGAGTGGGTTGCGGGCGGCGATCCTACCCGCCGAACTCTTCGTGGCGGAAGTTTCGTTGATTTCGACCCAGTGGCCGCCGAGAAAAACAACGGGAGTAGTGGGATCCCTCGTCAGCCAGCAAATCACGCCATAACGCCGGGAACACGGATGGAAACGACCCAAGATAGCGGTAGCGCAAATACGTCATTCCGCTGTGCGCAATCCCCTTTGAAGTCAGGCGGTACTTCGCGAAAGGAGGCTAGCAGAGAATCTTCCGGTGACCAAGAACTTTAAGCTCAAAGTTTTCATCTTCAATTGCATATTTTCGACGTGCGAGCGGGGCTATTGACCACTTTCTTTGCGACGACAGAACCGTGCTTTTTTGGCATAATTTCTCAGTCATTCCTGATTCGTGTATGTTTCTCTCATTGTTGAAACACTTGGTGTTGTGTCCAGTGTTTGCATTGTGTGCAACGCAGGCCAAGTACAGTTGAGATCGCGTCACCCCTACCCCTCAACCAGCTCTCGATGTGTCTCCCCACCTCATTTGCCACGCCGGGCCGCAGCAAGCATTCATTTATGTCCCTCTCGCTGCTTCTGCGAATATATGGATATCAGATATTGAGCTGTGAAGACGGCAGTCATTTTGGCGAAGGCCACCGCTCGAATATTTACCAGGCGGTTTGGTAAGTAAAGTGTCAAGGATGATACAACCGAGCCAAGCTCCTTCCAAAGCTGCCTTCTTACAAAATCGACGTTGTGTGTGTTGTGTGTGAGAGCGAAAGGAACCCCCCCCCCTCCGCAACATATAACTGACAAAGACCACGGAAATCGTAACCGGAGAGCACAGTCGCTAGTTCCGCGTATGTGCCAGCCCAGAACCATCTTCAAATACTGCAGCTTGTCTGCCTTGAAGGTTGCTTTCACTACAACCATTTCTATTGCCATCAGGTTTGAATTCGGGCACCCCGACTCGGTGGTCATTGCTGTGCATCAGGGTCTTGAACAGCCAGGACGTGAATCTCCCGCCGGCACGCCCGTCGGCGGTAGTGTACCTATGCGTGTTGCTGGGACCATGCGTGCGTTTAAAAGGCGGGCGAGATTAGCAGCAGACTCCGAAACAAGAGTGAATTTGTGCCCTTGACACAGCTACATACATTGAGAGGCCATACGTCCCGCGGTCCCGCTCTTCGTTTTGCGCAACACGACCTGGCTGTTGGGTGGTATCAGTCGCAAGAAACGAAGTGTTTGGCGACTCTCTTGTTTCGCATTTTTCGTCACGCTCGATTGAAGGGCACGCACGTAGACCCTTTCTTCACTATCATGCGTCGAACTCCTCCAATTAGGAGCATTGTTCCTGGGTCAGTCACTTTTGAAGCAAAGTCTGCGGTGGACAAAAAAAAAACTTACTGGAGGCTTGACCACTGCCACTTCGCTCGGGATCCTCAAAAATATATCATTAGCACGTGGTTGTTGTTTATTTGTCGTTGTTTTATTGTAAAATGAAAATGCTGTTGTTGCTATCACATGAAAACCGTTCTAACGTCTACCACCTTCAGGGCAAATAATCAAAACTTCTGTGGTCACATGCTAACCCCAAGAACATGGTAAAATTACGAGTTCCAACACAAGCAGTTGTAAAAGCATTGTTTTTTTTATTCCACAGAATAGTTAATTAGCCAACCACACAGAATATGGACTTACCTGTAAATCAACTTGAAGTCCCCGCTCAAGAGCTGCTCCGAGGAAAACGTGAATACCACGACAAACGAACCCGCTTGAAGAGCCCCTAGTCGTTCCTGGACGAGGGGACGAAATCGCGGGGTGGGTGTGTCTGTCTTTGTTTGAGTCATCTGACCCTTGACCGCATACTCCTCTTGAGGTGGAGCGTCCCGGCTCCTTGAAGAAACAAAACTGCACCTGCCTACTATACTACTGTCCGCGTTTTGGAGTTTTCACGGTGGTACTTTGTTTCCCTTGCCCCCCCCCCCCCCCTTCACGCAGTTCGTGGCATAGTTTCGCTTGGGCGTCCACTGTTTTTCAAGTATCCAAAGTGAAGTCGCCAACACCTGGGAAACTCTTGTTTTGCACAACCCTCGCGCCTTACTTGGTGAGTGGGGAATCCAACGTAAGTTGTGTAGGTAGGGTTCAACTTCTTATCTTTCGTGAAGATGGAACTATCAATTTCTTACAGCGTGGTGGCCCTTTCTGTATGGATGGATGCTGTATTAGTCTAATCTCCTCTCCGAGGACATGTAGACTATTTCTCCCGCTATCGGAGGTGTACACATACTGTACTGTAATCTGTGCAATATTGCATCCTCCGCCGTCCCACTGGTGAACCTGTCCCTTTTTCCGTCCGTGTCTTTCCACTGGGTCAATACCAAGATCCATCGATGTTGACTTAAACATATTTTGTCGCTTCAGCTTATAATTCAGTTATTTCCGTCCTTCGCTCTGTTTTTCACGTCTGTCCGTGTTATCATTCCGTGCAGATTACATTGATTCTTAGTGTAGGCCGCCTCCTGGCTCCTTTCATTCTCGACAACCTCCCAATTGTGTCCATTACGTTCCTGTTTTTCTTTTCCCTCCTATCCTCCATGAATGGCTTGGTCAGTTCCGTAGAAAGAGTTTGATTGCCAGTTCAGCCTGCTTGTCTTTGCTTTAACTCTCCCGGATACTCTTTCTCCTGGCTACTCTCAGAGCCGTAGACTATGAGGCCATGCTCAAGTACGTCAAGCGAAATGAAGAACCATGCACATGTGTTGGATGGAGAGTGTAACGATATGTTATAATACTACAGTTAGTCGAGCGTGATTTCTTGGGGATATATTTCGTCGACGAGCTCTCTCTCGCCAAAGATCTTCCTGGAAGAGTATTATGCCCGAAATGGCCCCTGAGGTATACTCCATCATGCTTTGCGTAGAAATATCCTACCTAACGAATCCTCTGACAGCCGGGCAGAGATTCTTGGACCTGTACATAGCAACACTACAACGTAAGTGTTGGTTGGGCTAATAGCTCCCCTTCACTCTCCGTTCAAATGAAGTCCATCTCACGGAAGTGTCAGTTCGTTGGGCGTTGTAACTGCCATTGTCATCGTGAATTTGATACCCGGAACGAGGTGGTTACCGTAGCCGATACATATGTAGGGGTAAACAGAGAGTGGTCAGCTGGCCGGCGCCACAAGCAAGGGTAGCTAGCAAATGAACCAAAACCTACCTGAAAACGGCGAAAAAGCACGCCTTCATCTAGGCACTTGAACACAGTCCCGTCCAAGAACACAACGTCTCCATCAATCTGCCAGCAGCCAGCCGCACGAAGAAAATTAAGGACGGCCCACTGGTATTGAGGCTCACACAAGGTTCATCCTGAACCAGAACTCTGGGACTCGTCTGGGGAAATTACGAATAGCGACAATCACACACAGACGACTGAACAGATACTTTTTCGAGGCGTTTGAGATTGTCGTTTTGGCTGCTCACGTCGGCTACACGTTCAGCTCTTCTGCTTTCAGGGATAGGGTTAGGGTTGCGTGCAACGCAGAACCATTCGTTGAAAAAACAAGAAAGTACTCACCAGCACGACAATATATGTGTGCATCAAGGTCTACCCTGCTCGAGATTCTGCGATACATGGACATGAGGAGGCAACATCCAGGCCCTACGACGAAGTAAGGCTCATGCCTATGTGGGACTGCATAATGGCTGGCCCCGAGAGCGTAGGGTCTCCTAGATTTACGATGGTGCAAACGTCGGGTTGTACAATTGCGATTTTCCAATTAGAAGTTCCTGCCAACCCTCACTTACGCCCCCCCCCCCCCCCCCCCCCCCCCCC